TCAGCATGAGACTTGTGCAGCATCGTCATGGTATGATATCCGTCCCATCCATCGCCAGCACGGCAAGAACATGCGCAGCGGCCTATGTGCACCATTAATGCAAGTTTCATTCCATAAAGCAACACTCATACCTTCGCATTAATGGTCAGTGTCGTAACATTCGCATTACTCAATGTATCACAAGCCAGGTGATAGCACGGATCCTGAGCACCTCCGGTCCCTGTAAATAGCCCTCCAACTGGCTTACCAAGCACTTGCCAAAATGATGCATAATCGGTTCCATTTGTAAAAGGCGCCGCCGTGACATTGACACCTTGACCATTCAGACCCTCTTCAAACAATTTCTCGATAGTATCTGAGCCAGGAGGAGCGCGGATGCCAAAAGTGCTCCCGTCACCGTCAAAAACTCCGAAATAGCCGCGAGAGACCATGTCGAAGTTTATGTATGCGAGGATTGAGGAAGCGGAGGATGAAGGAAGAGCCTTGACGTAGTGTCTCGAGCCGAGGATGCCCTTTTCTTCAGCACCCCAAAAAGCAAAGCGGAGTTTGAGATTGTGAGTGTACCTTGTTACGACTGTGATGAGGGAAAGGAGAAGGGCACAACCGGATGCTGGAGTTTATCAAGTGAGTTTGATGGAAGAAGAATTGGGGAACGAAGAGAACCTACCATTATCGTTGATCCCTGGGCCGGCTGAGACACTATCTAGATGCGCACCAAACTAGAGCGCTTAGTACTTGTGCGAAAGGCGTTACTAGAAAGACGGGGATTACCATAACAACATTCTCTGGATCACCGCCCACGGTCTCCACAAGTACGTTCTGCGTGACCCTCTCATCCAAAACTTCATACGCTATCAACGTCGCCAAAACCTCTTCATCTCTGTCCAACCGTCCTTTGAGTTCCAGTCCCTCTTTTCGATTGATATAGCCCATTGGTACATCGCTACTGTTAGCACGACTCAAACTCCCTGCTGTCAATACCAAATCAATATCATTATACACTATAACAGCGACCGCCCCTACCGCGGCAGCTGCGACCATTACACCATCATGAAACCCCGGACGAAGCGGAGGACATGCAGCATGCTCGACTAGCACGATCTTGCCACGAACATTGCGGCCTGCATAACTGGAGGCATTGCATGCCGTGGTTCCTGGTGAACCAAGCACCAGCTCAGCGGTGATTCCAGTAGAAGGTGTGGATGGTGCGCTGCTGATCGGGTAAGCCGGGTAGGATATCCCGCCAGTCGTGGTCAAGTTTGTGATATAGGAGCGGGCGTAGACGGCGGAGAAGTCTTGTGTAGAGGAGACCATGCCTGGGAGTGACGAGACCCTGGATAGAATATAATCGACGGATGCTGCATACCCGGAGGTGCCAAAAGCACGGGTATTGCCATTGGCGGTTGCTATATCGGCAATAGCTTGTAGATCAGAGTACAGACTGAATGTAGGTGTGAGAAGCGGAGCCAAGAAATTGAGAAGAGATGTACTTTTCCAGTTTAATTTGCGCCTGTAAAGATGATGAGCTTAACGCTGGTTCTTGGGCGAGAATCGTCTTGCTATACAACAGCAAAAGCCATCCCCAAGTATTTAGTGCAGTAGACTTCATATCCAAAATCCGCAGAATGAATGGCACAGGAAAACATGCAATTGGAAATAATCGACCAAGGCAAGACACAAGATACAAGACAAAGATACTCTTACGATGAAATACTCCAGAGATTGCAGTATATATACATATATATGGCCCCAAGACGCGCTCAAATCAAATCAACAACAAGCCAAGTCTCGGAGCGGAGAAGGGCAGTACCCGACTCGGAAGGTGGCACCCGGCTCTCAAACCCTAGATAGACAGTATCCCCCTTCGGATTTATAGGGTACGGATACGGTTATGGGTGGAGAATGCTGGAAATTTGAACTTCACGCACAATTCTCACTTGAGAAGGCTGACCTTACTGCATAAAAAGCTGTGCCATTTCTTTGACGAGAACATCGTGGTAATCATTCATTTGACTCCATGCGTAGTATGCTACAACAGAAGCCGCTTATCCACACACTAATCCATAACAATAGCCGCCATCCTGCCATTCTTTTTCTTTATTCATAATTCCATCGTTCGCTTTCAATCATAAAAAGCTGTGAACCAGGTCTAAGACTCATAGGCCTCAAGCTTCAGTTCTAGTTCTCTCACCTTCTTCTCTGCATCTGCATTGACTTTTGACTTCAAACTATCGACCTCCTGAGCGAGCTTGCTGATCTTCTCGCTCTGTGCCGTAATCGTCTTGGTCTGCGCCTCTAAAAGGCTCTTGATCTGCTCGAGAGAGCTCTCAACGGATCCGTTGCTCGAGGAAGAGACACCAGGAGTTGACGTGGCTACAGGAGACGTAACGTTCTGTCTAGAGGCAGGAGTGGGTTGTGATCCTGGCGAAGCTTTTGGAGGTGAGACCTTGGTAGGAGAAGTCTTGATGGGTGAGACAGGCTTCGGATCGGCTTTTGGGGCAACAGGGGCAGTGCGTTGCGCTGGTCTTGAAATCTCTTCAAACGAAGATGCATCATCATCAGAGTTGGCTTCTTCATCATCCTGGAATTTGGAGGCCATAGCTGCAATTGAGCCCTTCTGCTCGGAGATGGACGGCGGTGGTGCTCTTTGGACCGGTGTAGGTTCTGGCTCTTTCTTTACTGGAGAAGAAGCCTTGGCGGGCGTTGGAGCTGATGCTGGGGTTGGCGGTTTATAACCTGATGGTACTTCGACTGGAGCATTTCCTTCATAAATGCTCTCAAGATCGATCTTAGAAGGAACGCCATCCTTGCCAGATAGCCATTCCGCAGCTGAAACTGCTGGCTTTGTTCCAGTGGCTGGCGGGTAAATATCTGATTGGAATACCTCTGCTCTTCTTGGGACAGTGAACGAAATCGGTTCGATATAACTGTCGTTTACGGTCTTGTAAGCTTTCATGACCTCATTCTCGTGGACCTACAACGGATTAGCATTTCACAACGCTCTAAGATCGAGCCCCTCACATTGATGCCGCGTCTTGGGACGAATGCAAGACCTCTCTGTGGATCTCCTGACTTATACTCAGACAAGAACTCAAACTTGTCGTTTTCGTATTCAAAGTATCGAATGTTTCCATCACTTGTCAATTAGCCTAAGTTATCTAGTGATTCAGAAGAAGCTTACCCTTTGCCTGCTAGATATAACATCTGAGTCCCATCATCTATTTCAAGTCAGTCAAGCTCTAGACTGGAGTAGAGTATATAAACCAACCCCAGAACGGCATGCAAACACCAGATATAGAGTCCAGTGTCGTAAATCCCCCAATCGGTTGTGACGGGCTACCGGCATCCCACAATGCTAATTGACGGTCGCTCATCTTAGAAAAGCCAGTGGTGGCTAAACGATCATGTTCTCCCATCCAAACGACTCTACTAGCTTTTGCTCCAGTATGCCCAGCAACCTCATGCGCAGCCCTTTCTTGACGAACATCCCATATACGTATGACCTTGTCCCGAGAAGTGGTAGCCAGGCAGGTTCCGTTGGCATTCCAAGATAAGCTTTGTATGGTGTCCTTGTGCTTTAGGGTGAGGTGCGATTTTCCTGTCCCAATATCCCAGAGCTTAATTGTGAAGTCACCGGAGGCGGAGGCCAGAATGTTCTCGGCAGCAGGGTTAAAAAGGACGTGTCCAGCTTTCCTGTATATTGTCAGACTCTACTTATGTGTTCATTAAATTCTGGCGCCTACCTCGAATGGCCAGCCAACCTGCTAACCGGCGAAACATCGTTAGGCTCCTCGGCGTCACTATACAGAGAAAAGCCTTGCGGCACTTCCCATATAAAGATCTTCCCATCGTCAGATGCAGAGGCTATAATGCGGTCGTTGAATGGGTTCCTAGTTGAGTATCAGCCAAATACCTTCGGTTATAGTCCCTCTCACCTACCAATCCGTATCCAGCACGGCAGATGTGTGGCCTCTGAAGAGGGGAATCTGCTCAGGCAACCGTCCTTTCTCATTGACCGGTATCACTGCAAATGCGCCTCCTCCACCAGACTCCCAATTCACGGAAATATATTCTGGGTTGGCCTGGAATAACCATCAGCTCTTGCAATGCCATCAGGGTTTATCCACGTTGTATACCTTGACCAAATTTGTGTCCCACGCATTGCGACTGATGTGCAAGTTATCATAGCATGATTCTTTCTTGGTGGACTTGCCAAAGACGTGTCCTTGCACATTGTTAGCTTGATCGTGTGTCTTTCGAGGGTGACGAGGCTGGCTTACGGTATTTCGACGCGCGCACGAAGCGGCCTGCCATCGCCAAATTAGAGGAAAAGATATGGATACTTGGTGCAAAGAAGTGCAAATGGTGGATGCGCGAAGCTGCAGAGCGAAGATGTGAGTTCGCGATTGGCAGCAAGAGTGGTTTTGGATAGCAAAATGCAGGAGGAGTATTCCCATCCAGCTTCAAATGCTGCTCCTCAGACCCTGAAACTCAACGCTGTGGCTGCGCACCTTCAGGTCTTGGCATCTGGAACATGCTTTGGAGTTTAGTTTGACCATAGTTCTATTCCTCCCTTTTTTCCCCATTGAAACACTTTTCTTCGAAGCTCGCTTATATCTTTTTGAATTTAACGTTTGGTATATTTATCGATACGCCTTTTGCTGTCCTCAATCTCATTCGTTTCAACATGGCAGCATCAAAGGTGCGGATCCGGATGTCTCCGGCCGTATTTTCCTCTGATATAATAACAATGAACCTAACAATTCAGTCGTACAGTCGGTCATACCTAGCTTACACGATCATAATATGCAGGATAGTTTGCTTAACGATATCATGGAAAATTATGGAAATTAATAATATTTTATGTTAGAACTCAAAGGTTTCACTCAGTAAAAGATCGAAGCAAAAGTTATTCAATTCGCCACAGGTAAATCTCAAATACGGCATTTGGAGATAAAACCAGCTGAGCTAAAAAAAAATTGAAAAAATTGGAAAAAATTTAGTTGCACTGAGGATCGAACTCAGAACCATCTCGGAAAGAGTTCAACAACTGTGAACGAGATATCATACTATAACAGTATTGTCAGTAATCCATGCAACCGACCATATTCTGGTAGATATGTACTTACACCATTAGACCATGCAACTTGTGTTTGTTTCATCTCTCACTTAAATGATAGATATAATCCATAAATCCCTACTTTAGCCAGTCAGAAGTAACCAACTCAATTGTTACCTTCACAAGGCAATGTTGTTTGAGTATATTTAGGGGACACAATCTCAAATGTAAACATATATGGATCCACAAGTATTCATGGTTACCCGACCTTTAGAGTGTAGGGGAGATATATTAACATTGATGAAGGCTAAGAAAGTAAAAGCACCTCTACCTGTGTACGTATGTATATATTGTACACACAATACCCTTCCATTCCATTCAGCAGTCTTCCCCTCCTCATTTTCCGTCTTTTCCCTTTGGTGACACCACTACTTTCTTCTAGGGGAACCAGCTGTGGGGGTCACATAATATGGAGCTCCCCTACTGAACTTGATGAACGGCGTATTAGAGAGTCGTAAACGTTACGGAAGTAATCGCTTTTGGTGCTAAGTCAATACGTCCCTCTGGAGAGTTGTCACGTATACAAGTAATGGAACTCTTGCTTAAGTAAAGATTAAGGATTTGTGTGACAGAATCATATGAATCGATCTAAAATCGACTTGTATAAACTTTTCCTTTTTCAAGAAACGGAAAGGACTTTTAAATAACTACATGGCTTGAACCCTATTTTCTGTCGATCCTCAGTACGACTATAATTTTTGCATTTCAGTCAGACTGATAAGAAGAGTTTCGACCTGGATCATTCCGAGCCTAAGTTCACTTCACTTCACTTCACTGCTGCTGCTTTTGTCTTGAAATCCTTTGAGCAATTCTTTCTCTTTTTTTTTGCCCTATACAGCCTGCCGAGCCTCTAGCTTCAACGCTCGGCAAACAGTTTAACCGAGCCTCTCATCCAACTTTCATATTTCCTTAAGCTACAGCTTGAATCACTGTAAGAAATGAAAGATTAGTGTACAGTCTGGGACAATAGTATGATGCTTCCAAGGATATGTTGACTCTTAAAATCAGAACGCAGACTCACTTGCTGAAACCTTCACGTACTTCAAGACAATGCTCGACCTTAGCAGGTTCTTTTTCCTGTATATGCACCGGGCCATTTGAGCCCTGAAATATACGAATGAAAGAAATCACGAGCAACTTGTCATCGATACATATTTTCGTGTTGGTCCATTCCTTCCTCGAAGTTGGTCACTCTATATGAAGAAGAAGTGGAAGTTCGTCAAGTCCGAAGCAAGCTGCAATTTAAAGGATAATTTCTACAGTAGCAGATGCGATACACTGAGTAGAGCTGGAATGTATAGCCACTAGACTACCGATCAAGTTTCCAATTCCAGATTGACGTTGGTGCAATGGGTGAACTGCTGTTTGTACCAAAGCAGTCATGTCATGCCAGTGCGCAGAGACGAGCAACACATGACTACTTATTATCTTGACTAGTTTCAGACCTGACACAATCTCAAGCCGCAGACCAGATCTTTGATCTGTATGTATGGCGGCATGAAGAGCATTGAAAAGAACGAGAGCCGTGGGCAGCTGCTTGGAGATTGCGGCGGACCCTCTAAATACATCGAACCTAAACTCCCTCGCAACAAGGAACATGAGAGCCCAATGTTCTTTATGCTCTGGAAGATATCTTGACAAAGAAGGAGATACCTTCGAGTTTTGAGAATTATAAATTGATCTAGATTTGGCAGTTTTCGACTGCTTGGAGATTCGATGTCCCAGCTAAGATGATTTGTGGCGTGATTTTCCCTTACGCCGCTTTCGCACCGCTCCTCCTTCCAACACAATAGATTTGTCTAAGTTTATTTCGAAGTCGTCAAGATGGAGATCAGAAGCAAGTATGTATCGAAAATACCCGTATTTTTCTTTTGAAATTGTCGGGAAAAGAGTTGCATAGCTTGAAAGGAGGCGAAGCGCGACCAACCCGTATACAATGTCTATTTTGGAGTCGTCCCACCTGTCAACATCACCCCATCTTACAGCTTTGTCTGTCCACAATCGGATGTAAAATACACGTTTGTCACGTTATGGTACGTCACTTGGCGCGATCAAGATTACACTTCTATATCCGGGGAAAATGTATATGTATCTCTGAGTGAAGTTCCTACATAATGCGTTCTCGGTTACCCAAACACCTTTCAAGAATATACCTCGCCAGATATCACTCACTGATTATTGAACTCCTCCCTAACGAGCTTAATAAACGTCCTGTATATCATTCATAAAGACAGCTATATCAAATCCAGCATGATACGTCCAACACAAGCCCTACAAATGCGTCCTACACAACGGCTCTTTTCCTCCTCTTCCGTATGTCTAACCCCCTCAGCAGCCGAGTCCATTTCTAATAAATATAGAATTCATCTCCAGGGAAAGTCCGCACATGGCTAAAGTCTCTACCAGTAGAAGTATACCCTTTAGGTATGCCTATACAAACTGTTGATATGGAGGTGGGGGCGGAGGCTAATTAGAACAGCTGGCATCATAGGATTCATGGTTAGCTTTGCCACATACTCCATGGTTAGAGGATTTAGAGACAGGACTCTGCGGCTTTCAAGACAACGTCCGGAGTATTAAAGATCTGGTAGAAGAGAACAAAAAGGGCTGAAAATTTGCCTGGAGAGTGAAATTGTATATAGGTGGGGGAGTTAAGGAGACCACTTTACTTGAGTGTTCCAATTCGAATCGTTTCGATTCATACATCGAAACGGGTATGAATATCGGTATTTTTAATTCCATTTGTTTTTCAAATGTGGTGCGTTCACTTCGCTGATAAAGGCTCAGCTGGGTGCTATTTCTCCTTGGTTCTCGTTCTTGTCTTCTCATGAATGATCTCTGTCCCACAGAAAGCCATTCCTCTGCCTATATTATTCAGATGCAATGAAATTCTGGTCTGCTTTACAGACATCACACTTTGACACATCCCCATAGTATCCTAGATAGAATCCGGCTCCAAATGCCAAAAGAGACAAGCCATAGCTGATGACTACCAAGTGGTCACCGAGATCTGAAATGAATGATCTGAAACGATCCGATCTTTTGGAGATTTGTGGCTGTCCACGCTTATATGGATGTCGTTGACCTATCTGGCGCGGTTGCTGCGATGCAGTGGGCCGAAAACGGTGGAATGGCTGAACGTGAAATATGCGGTGGCTTTTCAGACCCGGCATTTGTACACTTGGTAGTGTTCGGATGCCAGATATGATCACCATGCTCGATGTTGTATATACAGATTGTCAGATTAATCTCGCCTTTACCAACGGGAGCAGTGCGACTGTCCCATAATCTTTTCTGCTTGCAATTGGATTCATGATGAGTCCCGAGTCGTATATATGCTTGTGATACCTTGCTCTAATTTGGAAAGTCAGATTAAATTGGAATCTGGAAAGCGCCTACAAATGACTAACATGATTGTCCTGGTCAGAAGTCTCTGAAGCTCACGCTCCGAGCAGTTGATACTCTTCTTCACAAAGCATCTGCACCAATTCTCGTGAGATATTGATGGACCCATAGGAAATTCGTCCCACGCAATGCGTACTTACAGGCAGGCGTTTCCACGCTGAAAAATGCGTGCCTACGGAAGTGACACGAAGACGTCAGGGAAAGGAAGTCTACTATGATGTGTTGGCTAGTACTTCTGACGCAAAAGGCAACCACTACTCAACCTCTCTTGATCTATGAAGGCAAGAGCTTCACACCCTTCTCAAAATTTACACTAAGTCGTATGAAAAAAATATTGAGAAATGGCTCAGGTCATGGATGTCATCAAATGGTGTCTGATTGTTCATGTACCAGAAAGCGGCAGCCTGCTCTTCCATAACCATTTTTGTATCTACACTATCTGGAGAAGTGGAAATACCTTGGTGACAGCATGAATGGATCTCTTCAAAAATACTTTATATTATGATAATCTGAAAGTGTGAAGTGAAAAAATGGCTCTGCATGATAGTGTCGGAAGTTATGAAGCAAGAAGTATTGTAGGTATGTAGCCAATGCTAAAGGATCTGTTCATTCTACCGTATGAAGGTCCAAAACTCAAAACTCGATTACTCAAATGCTGGAGTAAAATCCATAACCGGAACATATTAGACAAGGGTTGATCTTTTTATTAGTTAGGTCCGGTTCAGCAGTCTCGCTCCACCTATTATATATCATTTATCCTTCACACTCTCGTCATCTTTCTACCCCTTCTATTTCCACCAACCCTCAATTTATCACAACATTACGTCTCTCGTAGTGTACCTATACTTTGCAAACCAGGCTTCGAACCCGAGGAACAGAAGCGCTCCTTCTTTTGTAAATTAGGGGATTACGATTCACCTTTCTCATCTCCATCTGTACTCTATGTTCGTACAGCTGGCGGTCCATGCTTAGGCGCAAAGGGCAAGGGTTGTATATGGAATAATAAAGAGATACTTAAATAGAATTTTTTAGAGAGCAATGCTGCTGCTTCGCGTTAAAATGGATAGGCAGCCCAGGGTTCTAAGTATGGATACCCGGTATAAGGCGGATAGAGTAGTATGACACAAATCAACTCCTATCGATACAAAGACTAATATCTGCCCTTTCCACTACGCTCCAAGCCTTCTACTTATGCCTTCCATACCCCTAGCCAACCATTGATAAGCTGAAACCTAGTGCTCTACCGAACCCTTTATTGCCACTCCTGCGCCTGACACCAGGCAACGAGTTTTAGGAGGAGGAAAGAGAAACTTCAGAAAGAAGAAAAGAGTTGTAGATAGGAATAGCACGTTTGAAAGCACGTTTGAATGCACCATAATAGTTGGTGCATGTAAGAAGAAGACTGGGGGGTGAAATCTCTTCCGAATCGGGATGCTCGATGACTCATGGGATATTAAAGGTTGAAGTCGGTTTCGGAAATGTTAATCAATTGTTAAATACCTACCCAACGTTGGCACATGGAGGATAGCCTCATTAGCGACAATTCTCTATACTTCTTGGAATCATCTGATATCTTTCCGCATCTTGACTGCATCCGTGTACCACAACTTCCCTGTGCTATCCG